CTCACAGCAACCTCAAACTCTTGGGCTTGAGCAATCCTCTTGTCTCAGCCTCCTGAGTAGACAGGACTACATGTGTGTGCCACTACCCACAACTAGTTTTTCTATTTTTAGTAGAAACAGGGTCTTGCTCTTGCTCAGGCTGGTCTCAAATTCCTGAACTCAAGCAATCCACCTGCCTCATCCTCCCACAGTGCTAGGATTACAGGCGTGAGCCACATGCCCAGCCATGATCAGATTTTTCTTGATTTCTGCTTGTATCAGACGTTCCTGCGAACTTTTTGTCCAATAAAATAAATTGTGTGTGATTTCTCCAAAATTTCTATCGATCTGTCTAACTTCAGCTTCCAGGGTTTCACAAAAAGAACAGTTTAAATTTAGAGGGCTGGTCAGATGAAATGGCTCACACCTTTAATTTTATCAGTTTGGAAGGCTGAGGAGGGAGAATAGCTTGAAGCCAGGAGTTCATGACCAGCCTGGGCAACTTAGAGAGACACCATCTCCACAAAAAAGTTAAAAGTTAGCCTTGGCTTTGTGCCTGTAGCTCAGCAGCTAAGGTACCAGCCACATATACCAGAGCTGGCAGGTTTGAATCCAGCCCGGGCCTGCCAAACAACAATGACAACAGCCAAAAATAGACAGGTGTTGTGGCAGGTGCCTGTAGTCGCAGCTACTGGGGAGGCTGAGGCAAGAGAATCGTTTAAACCCAAGAGTTTGAGGTTGCTGTGAGCTGTGACTCCACGGCACTCTACTCTACCCAGGGTGACAGCTTGAGACTCTGTTTCAAAAGAAAAAGAAAAAAAAAAAGTTAGCCAGACCTAGTGGCACAAACCTGTCATAGCTATTTGGGAGATTAAGCAAGAAGGATTGTTTGTGAGAGCACATGGCCTGAGAATAAGATGGAGTCAGTTAGGCCAGGGCCAAAGACTACACAGCTGGTCTGAGAGGGAGCAGCTATGATCCTATTTTATTTATTTATTTATTCTCCTTCCTTTGCCTTTAAATAGTGATAGTAGTAGCAAAAATAGAAAAGATAAAGAGCTGGGGGAAGAGGCAAGGGCTGCAGGAAGCTCCAAGGTCATAAATCAAATCAGGTATGCAGACCAGGTGGCGACGACCAATCAGAAGTTCACACACCTCCACCCTAGCTAAGACCCCAACCACAAAGAGAAAGCAGACCTATCGGAACCCCAAGGCCTCCCTAGTGACCAGTGAGTGACAAGCCATCTTCTTCAGCATTTTATTGCAACCCATAGTACTTTGAGGGGAAAGTGTATAAAAGTTTCCCTGGCCTTTGTTTAGGAGCCACTCCCCACTGTTTCTGCTTTTCTCATGGGAGTGACCAAAGCATATGCCTGATAAGAATAAAGTTGGTTTTTCCATGTGTGAGTATGGACTCTCAGTGGTAATAATTTTGGCCTTAACAGGTCTAGCCAGTTCTGTGTCACCTTCACCTATGCTTCCTTCCTTGCTGTTTTGTAAATTCAGCTTTAACTTAAAATTATATATCTTGAGTAGTCTAGGGTGATTGATTTAGGAGATTAACTTTCTTTTTTTTTTTTTTTTTGAGACAGAGCCTCAAGCTGTTCCCCTGGGTAGAGTGCTGTGG